AAAAAAACTGTATTAAAATTGTAGTAATATATACCCACAACAAAAGATGAATACAAGTCATGTTTTGGCACCCCTGGTATTTTGGGGAACACTGCTCTAATCTAAAATTCTTTTGGGTCTACCCTACCAAGTAAATAACACATCCAGATTCATATTTACTATTGGGTTATCAGAAAAGTCATGACGTATTTTTTCTATGTTTTTCGTGCAAAAATGCGTCATGATTTTTATGACAACCCAATATAATCACCTATGTATAGCACTCACAATGTCCAGGTACTATCACTTTAGTTATTATCTCTACGTAGAGATGAGAATGCAGAGGTTCAGAAATGTTAACTGACTTCCCAAAGTCACAGAACCAGAAACTATGGAACCAGAGCTTGAGCACAAATCTACTGGCTTCAAAACCCCATAGGCTGATGTAATATTATGTCTGCTGAAAAGATTCTTCAGGAGATCCAAAGCTATTCTTAACACTAAGTATCCAAGTAAAGTACTAGTAGGAGTCTTAAAGAATAATCAGTTCCTGGCTATCAAGGTAAAGCTTATAAATGTTTTATGAGAATAAGATACTTAATCATTAAATGGGTATAAGCATGAAAAAACCCAAATGAGGCAAAAATTTAAAAGTCTAGTACATTTAAAGTAATTTATCATAACTATTTGCTAGAAAAAAGAGCAAGAGACCACAACAGGCAAGAGTAATGTGGAAGAAAACCTAAATTTCAATCCATCATCAAAACAGACATTTAGTATACTGAAAATTATATACAAAAAACATGGTACATTAGGACACATGATAACTTGTTAAGGGATGAAAAACATTTTTGTATTCTAATGTATAAAAATGCACTTTGTTTTGCCACTGAATTCAGCTATAAACACGAATTTAACTTTGGTATGTTACCCACCACTAGCAGTAAGTGGTAAATACTACTCTTAAAAATAATTTGCATTTTATAAATAAAGAATACTTCTGATCATCTACATTTTAGACTGCTATACTATGCAACAAATTCCATCCCACTTCTTAACACCTGCCACAGAAAAATTTACTTTACTTACATTTTGTTTGGATTCTAATTTTGAAAAAACATTAAATCAAATATTCTGTCTTGTTTAAAAATAATTTTACCTACTGACCCTCTTTTGCTAAGATACTACAAACTCAGTAGAAACTCAGTTATGCCACTTCAAGGACATAAGTTTTTAGTATAAAAATAGGACCAAGATTAAACAGAAAATAGACATTTGGCAAACATCACAGTAATAATTTAGCCAAGAAACATCAGATGCTAAAGTCAGAGGGTAAAGTTTGATGAAATACAGTATGTTTACAATCTCAAAGTACTCCTTCAAATCAATATACTTATGATTACAAATACAAATCAAAAATAGTTATTAATTTCAAAGGGATAAAGAATAAATTTATAATGGAGAGACCTAGCAGACAGAAGCTGAATCAAGGGATCACACCAAAATGGGACAAATCAAACACAAGCTCCACTTCAGAGGATGCAAAAAGGACACATCAATCCTTCTGAGATATTCCTGCTGAAAATGTGCAATCTGAATCTAATCATGAAGAAAAACATCAGACAAAACCAAACTGAGGTATGTTCTATAAAATAGTTGACCTATAATACTCAAAATTTGTCAGCTATGAAAGTCAAGAAAAGGTTAAAAAATTGTTCCAGATTGAAGAAGACTGAAGAAATGTAACTAAATCTAATTTACATATGGACCTTTTGATAAAAGGCAAACCTTAGTGATACAAGAGGACGTCCTTGTTTTTAAGAAATAGATACTAGAATATTTTGGGGTGACTGTGCAGTATTCTGACAACTTACTCTCAAACAGCTCAAAGCAAAAAAAATATTTTTATACTATTCTTACCGAAAATTTACATAAACTTAAAAGTGAAAAACTAATATATACTTTTACCATCTTCAATACTAACTTCATTTTCTTCTGGATTTGACAAGTTTTTAAACTAATCATCTACTTTTTTGGTTTTTCTGGATTCCTAGGTTCCAATTGGGCTCGGAGATCCTAAGATTTATGGAAATTCTCAGGAATACTACTACCAAGATTAGGGACCAAAGCACTAATAGAAGGAAGTAAGAAAATGTATTAAGAAAAATTGGAATCTATTATCATAAGGGCTAACCTCTGGATATATGCACACATAGACCTGCAGCAAATTTAAAATAAGTGATTTTCCAGAAAATTGCCTGCTACCACACAGCAGTGGTAAAGTATACCACAATGCATGCCTTTAAGAATTGTTATTTTTACCAGAAAACAGACAAGTCTAAAAGCCCATACTGCCACAGGTAAGTTTTAAATTTCACTGTTTCTTTAATTTTTACACTGCAATATTTCAGGATGCATCATTTTTTTAAAGTAGGCATTCATATTTTAAAGCAAGCAATGAAATACTAGTAATAGCTACAAGGACATTATTCAATATACTACCATATTAAAGAACAGTTTCTTTAATATGATTTCCTTAAATTTGTTGGGTAAGAATTTCTTACAGTGGGTTGGAGACTGCAGATTAATAAAGACATACAAATTCAGGGGTTCCATCCGAAACTCAAAGAAGGTCTTCATAATCTGTTTTTAATAAATCCCTTAATAAAATCTTCTTTTAGATTTTACTAGTTGTGCAGAAAGAAGCTAACACAGCAGGCCTGAGAGTGCTATCTCTAGAAAGGTCAGCTTGCAAGCTTAGCTTTAGGTTTGCATCTGGTAACCTGGCTTTCGAGATGGTTCCCACTATTCCCAGACTGATAAGGGTGGCACATTGTACCTAAACTCTCTGTACAAACGCTGTGGTTTATGCTGAACCCCTGCTTTCCCTCTGGGAGTCTAAAATTTTGTTAAGTGCTAAAGTAGAAGGTATCTACAAAATGACTACAATAAAATCTCTGGACAACTGGGCTCAGGTAAGCGTCTCTGGTAGAAAAGTTCATACATGTGGTCTAAGTCATGATTGGGGAATTAAGCAGGTCCTGTGGGACCCACTGGGAGAGGACTGGAAGCTGAAGCTTGCTTCCCTCAGACTTCACCCCATGTGCCTCTTCCATTTACTGATTTTGCTTTGTATCCTTTTGCTGTGTCCTGTTCCTAGTGAATCATCAAACTAGGGGTTCCTCAACACAATCTTGGGACTCCTCAACACAATAATGTACAAAATTACCTGCTATAGAGCTCTAAGTGTTTCAATAAACTTTATATGTACATTAGCAACTTGCAATTGATAACTAAGATGACAAAAGCTTAAAGTAAGTCTTATATCACTCACAAAATTATTTACTTTTTGGACTACTAGTGAAACAATATTCAGATATTAATATTTTCTCAAAGTTTGAATTTGCTATTTCAACTGTAAATATAGTTAATTTGGGGTTTTATTACATGGTTTTTAAATGTGTAATTATTTTTAATTCCTTCAAAATGAAAGACCCATTCTTATCCTCAAAACAAACAGAAAAACAAATCCAAAAGCAAACTCAAAACAGTTTACTGCCCATCACAATTTAAGTAATGTGTAAAAGTGATACATTCTTACCATGTGGAGTGATTGTCTGTACAGGCTTAGCAGGGGACCTCACATTCCATATAGTCAAGGTGCCATCTGAATGACTGCAAATAAATTGTTTTCCTTCATGATGCCAAGCCACAGAGTGAATAGCCTACAGAAGCAAAGAATTCCATTCTTTAAAACAAAAAATTATTTAAACACCAAGCTATTCATAATTGGTATTGTAATTTTCATTTAACATTTTTTTATATTTCCCAAGACAATATGTTACCTACATTCTCATAATAATTTAGCCCTCATGCAATACAAATGAGATTTCCTTTAATATTGACCCTATTTTAATTCTTTTTACTGTATTTACTCCCTAAGTCAGCATAAAAAAGATATAATAGTTCCACGAATATACAAAGTCAACAATTGCTATTATCTCATTCAATGTTCATTTATTTGGGTTCCTCATAGGCTTATAAATTTAAGTTAAATGAAACAATTTAATATTATGAATCAGATTTTAAAATTTAAATGACTGGATAGAGACAATCAGAATTTTCCTAAATGTCAATACTTAACACAATGTTTTAGGTTCAGAGTATCTCCAACAAAATGCTAAACAAAATCTTAAAACAGTAATAAACTTATTCCAAAATACATATGACATTCCACAAACTCAATCTTAAAATAAGCAATCCCTTAGTAGCATTAACAGATGAATTATTTCTGCAAAACATGAGTAGTGATAAGAAGTTATTCACAAAACTATTTAAATATATTTTTTAAAGTGACAAGGGTTATACAAGAATGGTCTACAATGTTATCTGAAACCTATAAATGAAAAGTCTAATCTTATATATACAAATTTATATCATATGCATAAATATATATTATATACAAATGAAAAACTAGTATTTATATTTTTCTAAACAATATAGATCTTTATTTCAAGATATATACACCTTTTATTATATTAAATTATTAAACATTCAAAAATAAATACTAATTATAAGAACCAGTGGTTCACAATTGTTCTGGATAACAGTGAGAAAAATATTACAGAAAACACCCCACTAAAGAAATAACTGAAATGAACTTTTACATGCCATAAAGAACAATTTTTTGTTATTGCTGCAATTTTCTAAATACAAACCCAACTTGATACAAGTTCTCATTTTTTTCTAAAAGTCCCTCTAATACTATTACATGTAATACTATGTATGTTATATAAATGTGTATGTACATATAGCCTAAGTATATGTGTAAGAATTTATTATATATGCTTATGCAGCAGAGTATTATATGTATATATATACACAAAGTATGTGTGTATAATATATGCCACATATAAATTATATATGCATAAAGCATACAATTATACTTTTTTTTTAGTTTTCGTAGGAAAATGAAGTAGAAATTTATGTAAGCAAAGTGGAAACTGCAAACTCAGTAACCAAATCTGCCACATGCTCAAAATCAAAAGATGGGTTAGGAGCAAACCTGTATAATTCATGGGAGAAGACATAAGATACAAAGTAGAAAGCATAAATCGGGGTTGAGGAATTTTGTGTGTTAATTGGCTTGTTTTTTCCCAAAAGAATATAAAAGATTCTTAAGAGGTTACCTGATTTTAAAATAAATGAAAAACTATAGAGATGAATAAGAGAAATAGGAAAGGAGGGAGCTCGAGAGCAGAATAAATGGAAAGCAGAAGAACATAATAAATGAGTGATTTACAAAAGTTGTGGAGGAAGAGGAATACTGGGTAGAGGGAAAAAAGAGGAGAGAGAGGAGGGGGGATGGTATAGTTATAGGCATAAACCACAAAGGAGCAGTATACACAATTCTAAAAGTTCTTTAAAAGATGCAATGTATGACAAAAAATCTTAACTATAATAAAGCTCATGAGGCAGTTAATGGAGTCTAACAGTATTTTTGTCCTTGATAAAATTTTTAAAAACCAAAGCACTGTCTACTCTGATACATTTTTAAACAAGAGTATTATCTAATTAATAAGCTTTGACAAAAGGAGTACATGTGATGCTGTCTGCTATTCTTATCAAATAAGAGGCATCTTGACGAATAATTGTTTAGAAAGAGAACACGCTGTTTATCGATCAAATTTTACACTCACTAACTCAAACTAATGGCAAAATTAAATTAATTTCCCATTTGCTGGTTTTGCAAATTAATCAATATTATTAGAATCACTTAACACTAAAAGTTGTACATACCATATTTTGCCATGTATAATGTGCTTCCATGTATAATGTGTACCCATGTTTTTGGCCCAAACTTTCAGGGAAAAAAATCTTTCAATTTTTTAATTCAAATGTTTTATTTGTTTACATTTAGGTATTTGATTTTTGTATTATAAAGGAATTTTAGCATTTATTTGTTAACATATTATGGTA